TGCATTTTTTTTTAACTAATATGAATAATTTAGCAATTAATAATTTTAGACATCAATCTTTGCGTGTCTGATCATTTCCTTAAGATAGGTTCCTAGAAGCAGAGTTACCAAATCAGGGACATACAATTTTTAGGGCCTGACGTGGCTCATACTTGTAATGTATTTTAAAGTTTAAATGATTAGTATTACTTATAGCACAACAGAAGCCACATAAGAAAAGAAAATTCTTCCCAGAAATTGTTCTCACCTGAAATTTAACAAGTTGTTGTGACCTAATGTTGACTGTTGATGTAAATCCTAAAAAAGACAGGTAATTATGAAAGTTACTATTTGATTTATACAAAGCAACACATCTTTCTGAGCAGGGAATCCTAGATCAAACAAAAGAATGGCAGCGCTTCCGAGACCACAGAGCAAGGAAAGATGCTGGAGTACAAGCCCGCAAGTTAAAAAGCTTGGGCTTTGCTGGTAACAGGGAACTCAAGGTTGAGAAGGGACAGTGTTGACATGTCATGGGTTTGTTAACTGTTGTCATAAAACAATATGTGTACTAACAGTTTAATGAGAAACTATTTGTTCTGTAAGCCTTCATCTAAAGTACAATAAGAAAAAAAAAAGCTTGGGCTTTGATCCCAGTTTGACACTAATTGTGTGACGTAAGGCAAATACAACATCCTGAGCCTCAGATTTCTCATCTGTGAGATAAAAGGGTTGGTCTAGGTCGATGTTCTTTAGTGAGTGGCCCAAGTGGCACATAAGATATTTTTGGGTGGTATGTAGACCAATATTTTTTCCCATGGTACATAAAGGTACTTTAAAAAAAAGTGTTTTAGTTAAAAAAATGAGTGGATTTAGAGGAAAAGATTAAGTAACTGATAGTATATGTGGTCCTCAGATATGGCATAAACCATCAAGGTGATGGGCAAATGTCTGAAGTTTGAGAAACAAAGGGGTAGTAAGCTGTAGAGTCCCTTTTCACTCTGTGCTAGGTGAAATTCAAGCTATAAATAGTAAGCAATGATTACAGTGTTAATAATGACTGACATAAGGCTGATTTCCAAAATGTGAAGATAACTCATATCCTCACTTCCCTCTTCTCCATCATCCTGGTATCAGCCACCCACGTGGCGTTTTCACTCTCCATCCCTAACCACCCAAGGTTGGGTCTCCACAAGTTAGGACTCTGTCCTTCCAGCCCCTGCCAAACAGGCAAATGTCAGCCTCTCTACTGGCTCTCACTGTCCCTGGTGGGTTCAATTATTGACTAGAATGACCCACAGTACTCACAGAGACTACCTATATTTACAGTTACCCATTTATTACAGCAAGAAAGGATACAAGCAAAGAGATGCATCAGGCAAGGTCTGGGGGTGGTCACTGTGCGAGACTTCCATCGTCCCCAGGGATGTGCCACCTTCTCCCATGCATGGATGTTCTCACCACTCCAGGAAGCCCCCCAAAGGACAGATCTAAGGTTCAGTGCCCCTTAGTCTTTGGGGCCTCAATGAACATGCGTGACTGGAGCCTTAATGCATAGTTATGATTGATTCAGTCAATGAATATGCATGATTGACTGCACTGTGCCCCCCTCCCTTCCTGAAGGTTGCTGCAGGGTGGGGCCTGTGTAGTCCCTACTCATTTACGCATGTTTAAGTGTTGCCTGGCTATTTTAGAAAGCAAAGGGCACCTTGATTGCTCAGAAATTCCAAGGGATATTTTCAGAAACCAGAGACAAAAGCTCAAATTGAGTTCTTTGTCCCACCCAGTTACCTAGAAGGCATTCTGGGAACTAAGTAGAATTACTGACATGTTTAAGTGGCACAAACAGTTTGTGCTTAGCTACTGACAGAAAGATTGGCAGTTTGAATCCACCTAGTGGCACCACGGAAGAAAGGCCTGTAGTTTACTTCCATAAGATTATCTGTTGCCATCAAGTCGATTCCAACTTATGGTGACCTTATATGTTACAGAGTAGAACTGCTCCATAGGGTTTTCTTGGCTGTAATGTTTATGGAAGCAGATCGCCAGGCCTTTCATCCGTGATACTGCAGAGTGAGTTCGGACAGCCAACCTTTAGGTCAGTAATCAAGTGCAAACCATTTTTGCCACCCAGGGACTTTCTGTAATATTACAGCCATTAAAAACCCTATGGAGCAGTTCTACTATGTAACACGTAGAGTTGGCATAAATTGGAATCAACTCTGAAGGCAATGGGTTTGGCTTTTGGGTTGATAAAAAGTGAACGGAGACTCAAGCATGGAAAAGCTTCCAAATACCACCCTGCTACTGCTACTACTTGCATCCTGCCACTTGCAACCCTTCACACTTTTCACTTTAATAGTGAGTTTCACTTGTCTGTGGTGGATTTTGTCCCTTCTTCTATAAAGGCT